GCGCCTCCCATGCGAAGGGCATAGTGTTAGAGAAGGTGGGCGTTGAGGCCAAACAGCCCAACAGCGCGATCCGGAAGTGCGTGAGAGTACAGCTGATCAAAAACGGCAAAAAGATCACCGCTTTTGTCCCGCGAGACGGTTGTCTCAACTTCATTGAGGAGAACGACGAGGTGTTGGTCGCCGGCTTCGGTCGTAAGGGTCACGCCGTCGGCGATATTCCCGGCGTTCGCTTTAAGGTCGTGAAAGTGGCCAACGTTTCGCTCCTCGCCCTCTATAAGGAGAAGAAGGAGAGGCCCAGGAGTTAGGAATCGCCGCCGAAGACGCCTTTCCACTCAAATTTGATTACAACATAATTATTATAAAATCAATTAATTTTAAAATAAATGATTTGAATTTTTTCGGACATAAGTTTGACTTTATTTGGTGTGAATTTCTATGTGTCCAAAGATTATGTGTTTGTATTTGTTTGTAAACTCTCTTATAGTTGTATTGAAAGTATAGTAGAAAATGACATACAGAGAGAGAGAGAGAGAGAGAGTAAACATAATTATCTAAATAAGTGTTTAAATTGAGTTAATTTTCTAGGAAAACATGTGCTGTAAATGTGTTTAAATGAGTGAAACAATTAAATGAATAGTTAGTGAATGTGTCGATAGGTGTCAGTGAATGCCTGTGTTGTAGACATTGAATGTAAACATAAGCGCAGATCACGTGATGTGAAGTACTGTTAACATAAATATTGATGCAATGGTTAACTAATTTGTCAATTGATTTGCCATTGAATTAGCGATTAAATCAATTAGAGTTGCATTGTTTGCATTGATAGGTGTGTCGAGTGAGCCATCAATGCATTCAATCACTGCTTTTGATTGACATTACGTTTCAATTGATCTCAAAATCCAAGAAATTAACAAAAAAAAGAGAAAATGTTTTCCAATAAACGTTTGGACAGAAAGTCATTAAACGAGTCGTTAAACAGCAAAAGGTGTCGATTCGCGGCCAACGGGTCCGCCGGTGACCACTCGTCCTCCTCGTCGTCGGCGGTG